AAAAGTAGATGATAGATTGTTAAAAAGAGAAAAACAATGTATCGTCTACATGAAATTGCTAGGTTAAGAAATGGTGAGGATGTTCACAAAGAGAGAATATTTGCTGATTAATGGGCTAATTAATTCCTTTATTGTGGTAAAAATATACATAACTATATACATATATATATAGAGAGAGACAGAGTTATGTATATTATGTATATTATATATATACACACACACATAACAAAACATAGCCGTATCAATAATCTTTACATGTACAATTCTGTGACACTGATTACATTCTACAAGTTGTGCTATCCTTTTCCAAATCATTTCAACACCATTAACATAAACTCAATGCCCTCCTAAGTAAAAATTGCCCCTTCCCCCACCCTTTCCACCCTTGGTAACCACTGATAATCTTTGGTTTCTATGTATTTGCTTATTTCATATCACCGAGATCATATAATATTTGTTCTTTACTGACTGACTTATTTCGCTCAGCATGATGTTTTCAAGGTTCATCCATGTAGTGGCATGCATTAGAACTTCACTTCTCTTTATAGCTGAGCGGTATTCCATTGTTTGTATATACCATATTTTGTTTATCCATTCATCTGTTGATGGACATTTAGGTTGTTTCCACCTTCGGCTCTTGTGAAAAGTGCAGCAATGAACACTGATGTACAGATTTCTGTTTGTGTTCGGCCTTCACTTCTTCTGGGTATATATCTAGGATTGGGATTGCTGGGTCATATGGTAGTTCTATGTTCAACCTTTGGAGGAACCATCAACCATCAACTGTTTTCTACAGTGGCTGTACCATTTTACATCCCCACTAGCAATGGATGAGGGTTCTTAATTTATTTTTTAAAATAAATTGAACAGAAGCAATAGCTGCTTTGAAAATAGTAATAAAACATACACAACTCACTTTTTCACTTATAAAAATGTTAGAGTTCATTGGTTTTGTTTCTACGCTTCTGCTATTTTCGGTAAAAATTGCAAAGTCATTGTTTTCATTCTTAAGTTTATAAAGAAGATGCTGAAATTCAACTGACAATTCCAGAGGCTCAATTCCATAGGAAACATTTTCAAATTGCAATATTCCTCTGTAAAATTAAGCATAAATTTTTTAGTGCTTTTAATCAAATCTATATTATGAAACTGACAGGATCGAGAAGAAAAGAATAATAAAGACACAAAACCTTTTTGACCTAGTATTTTGACCCAAATTCTTTACGTTTTGGATATGATTCTGAAGCAACAAAAGATCTTCCCAATCCACAAAACCAACACTTTCTTTCTTTTTTATTTTACAACTCTAAAAAGCAGCAGAAATTACCCAATCAACTGCTAGGTGTACTGATATACAGCATTACAGTTATCAAGTAATTCCCATTTTCAAAAGTCAGTACTCAAAGTAATAATAAGTAGAAGTCTTAATTAATTTCTCCCTGGTTTTTTGAAAAATGATTACACTGATTGTATAACAAAAGAAATATATAATAAGCAGTTTAATTTATAAAAAATTTTAGCAGTAAGTATAAAATATTTTATCAATTTTGTTTATGCAAATAATCTGAACAAGAAATTAAAAGCACGATTTTAAAGTGTAAACAACTTGTATAACTATTCTTCCCTGAATAGAGGAAATAGATGGAGTCACCATTCCTTGAAAACCAAATTTCAGATCCAAATTTCAGGGTTCCATGTAAAAAGTACTGAGGAACATCTGTTTGTGAAAACAATCTATACCACATAATGAAGGTGAAGAATTATAAAAGAATGGGAAATCCTCTAAGCACTGTGCAGGAGACTCAACAACTCTTGGAGGGTTTTAAGATAGTGATATAACTTGGAAAAAAGAAACCCAGCATTATATTAGTCATTATTTGTTCATATACAATTTGCCTCCTCATTCTGAAGCAGCACAGAGTAGAACTGCCCCATAGGGTTTCCAAGGCTATAAATCTTTATGGAAGCAGACTGCCACATCTTTCTCCCATGGAGTGGCTGGTGGGTTCAAACCACTGACCTTTCGGCCAGCAGCTGAGTGCTTTAACCACTGCTTCACCAGGGCTCCCTGTCATTGCTACAGTTAAGAAAAAAAACAAGAGATTGAGCAAGGAGAAGGGAACCTGAAACTTCAAAGAGTTTAGAAATGTCTGTAGTCAGTGAGGAAACTGGGGAGAAAGAAGAGAAGAGAAACCATGTTCAGACTATGGTATCATTGAACAATACCCACATGGGAATCCTCCTCCAGCTGCACCCTTAATATAAACATAACAAATTCACTGTTAGCAAATATCATAACTATGATGTTCTATAATCAGAAATAATAAATAACCTCAGTCCAGAGCATGTGCTGAGTGTGACAAGAGAATTCAGATATCCTTCAATATATCCTTGGTAGTAGCAATGGGTCTAGGAAAGTAAAAAAGGAACATTGTTATTTAGGAAGTGACAAAACTTTCTAATGATTTCCTACTTTTTACTTTTTACTCCTCCCCCCTACTTTTCACAGGCTACACAAATTATATCAGTGTGAATAAAGTGACATCCAGAAAAAAGTTTTACCATACTTGCCACTTTCACTGTATTAACTACCACCTTTTTAGATTATTACTTGTGATTACTTTTTTACATCCTGCTTCCAAAGTGTTACCCCATATTATAGAAATTTAAAGATAAAATTATTTTCCAATATATAATTTAGGTCTTCAGCTTACAATATCCAGTTTGACGAAGTTTAAAGTATAAGTTGATCTTTCCAGTTCTGATTCTGTTCCAATGTTACAATACCTACCCCACTCCATAAAGTCATCAGTCCCTAGTGTTAGCTCTTCTTGAAACTAGATAATCTTTGATAGGGTTTATGGTATGGCTCCCAGATACGAGTCAGAAGGATTCTTTCCTAGCTACCTGATATCCTGAGTCCCAACTCCAGAAATATCTTAAATTCCCCGAAGAAGAGAGTCATATTATGAAATACATTTCTTTATCTGATTGAAAACCTGTATTTACTCTTTCTGGGTACATTGGTCTTAAGTAGCTTCATGTTTCCTAATCCCTTCCTCTCATCCTGCTTCTCTTTGGTTACCTTAACCAAAATGCTGATTAATAATTACTACCTAACTGCATTCACACTGAATGCTTGATCAGGAGCAGGGTTTCCATTTCCAGTAATGACAGACTAAGTAAATGAGGCCAATTCTGTCACTGAGAACAATGGGAAAAGCAGAACAAAATATTTTTTAAAATCATGTTGGTGGCACACAATACCTAACAACATCAATAAATCATGATAGGACCAGGATCCAGTAGAATATGGCAACCAAAAGAGGCAAGACCAGCATATGAGGCCAACTGACCCCAAGAGCATTTGTCATTTGTGTAAGTAGTGACAGAGAAGCTAAGCAAAGTTTTTGCCAGCCTCAAAAAACTTAAAGGAACATAAATTAGAATTCAGAGATCACCATGGTAAAATCATCACGCTTTGGATTGGAATCCTAAAGGGCTGCAACCTAGGAGTAGCGTGGATGAGAAACAGACTGGGCCTCAGAGAGATTGAAACCCAGGTTTGATTAATCACAATCCCTAAAATTGTATGAAGATGAATTGGGATTATTAATGTCCTTAACCACTAGTCAAAAGCAATGTATATCCTCTCTAGAGAAAGATAACATCACTTTAGATTTCAATTTATTTCCATAATTTTTCATACACAATGTCCAGTACTAAATAAGAAAATAACCAGCCTTATAGGGAAACAAGATAAGAGATATAGGGGCTAAAGTGAAAACATCTAACATACGTGTAGTCTGAATCCTAAAAGAAGAGATAAAAAATGAAGCAGAAGCAGTATTTTTGAATATCTAGTACTGACGACTTTCCAAAAATGAAGAGAATAAATTCAGCTACAAATTCAAGAAGTCCTACAAACAACCTAGCCCACATCATAGCAAAACTGATGAAAACCAAAAACAAAGAAAATATCTTGAAAGCAACCAAAGAAAAGAAGGCAGACTACCATCAAAGGAGCGATAATTAGACTGACAGCTAATTTCTCAATGAAAACATTGGAAGCCAGAGGATAATGAAATAATAGATACAAAGTGCTGAAAGAAAAACCTGGCAACCAAGAATTCTATATTCAGCAAAAATAGTCTTCAAAAAGGAATGTGAAATAAGTTGAGATAATTCATCACCAGCAGGCAAATACTAAAGGAAATATCAAAGGTTGTCCTTCAAGCAGAAGGATAATAATCTCAGATTGAAAGTTTGGAGATATAGGAAGTAATGAAGGGCAGCAAAAATGAGTAAATATATAGGAAACCTAAATTTTAAAATTTATTATATAAAACAATAATAAAATGCCATACGAGTTTTTAAGTATATAAAAAATTACATAAAATACATATTAAAAATAATATATGTCAGGAGGAAATAAAATGAAGTTAAAGTGTTCTAAGATCCTCTTACTATTCAAGGGGATATAAAAGTATCAATTTATATTTAGAATTTAATAACCCAAAAATGTATCTTGTAATCTCTAGGATAATTACGGAAAGTGTATAACTACCAAGTTAATAGAAAATAGGTTTTTTAATACAAATAAATCAAGAAAAAAGAGGAAAAATAACATAGACAGGAAAGCCAAATAGATATTAAATAGTAATATGATAGTCTTGAATTCAAATAAAAATAATTTCGTTAGATGTAAATGGGCTACATGTACCATTAAAAAACAGAGGTTGAGGACCTGGGTTGTTTTTTTTTTTAAATCAAGTATGTTGTTAAAAAGATACACATCTAAAATTTAAGGACACAAAAAGGTTTAAAGGCTAGAAAACTATATATCGTGCCAACAAAAACCAAAAGGATGCTACTGAAGCTGTACTAATACCAGGAAATGTAGACTTTCGTGCAAGAAGCATTACTGTAGATAAAGATTTCATAATAAGAGTTTCAATTCACCAGGAAGATACAGATAATCCAAATTTACATTAATTTAATAACACCAAATATATATAAAGCCCAAATTGACAAAATAGTGAAAACAGAAAAATCTACGATTGTAGTGAAATATTTTTTGAACACACATTTCTCTCAGTAACTGACAAATCAAGCATTCAAAAATCAATAAGGATATAGAAGATTTGAACAGCATTATTAGTAAATGACCTAATTAATATATGTAGAATTATGCCTAAAAACTGTACAGTATACTTCTTTAAAAAATACACAGCGTATATTTATAAAAACAAAACTGTATTCTGGAACTGAAATCACATAGAAGTTGGTCTCTGACCACAGAATAATTAAGCTAGAGATATAGAGAGTAGCAAACATCTTCACACGCACACAAAAAGGAATACTATATAATTTCCAAGGTGCACCAATGGAATAAATTTTGGTATAAATAAATGTACAATTTCTTATTAATACACTACTTTCTGATTGTTCCAGACGGAACTAAAGAAAGGAATAAAGAGCTAAAAAAGAGAAGTTGATGGCCCTACCCAATATAAGTGAAGCAACAAGGTGTACAATTCAATATTTCAACAAATGTTTAGCATATGCAGTGTGCCAGGCACTTTTGTAGGCACCCAGGATATACTGTTGAATAAACACAGATTAAAAGTTCTGTCCTCATAAAGATTATACTCCACTGGGGAGACAGAAAATAAAGTAAGTAGATAAAACATATGGCACATCATATGGAAAAAAAACAAAATCATAAGGGATACATAGAAAATGCTAAGGATAAGAGTGCAATTGAAAATGGAGGTTAGTCAACAACTAGTAGGGTGATTTTGAGCGAAGACCTGAAGAGATGAGAAAGGAAGACATGCGGGTATCTGGCAAAAAAGCAAGCATTTGGATCAGAGGGAAGTGCAGTGTTCTTGAAGGGAGAACATGTCTTGCATGTTTAAAGAACAGCAAGGAGACCAGTATGGCTAGAACAGAATGAGCAAGGAAGAGAATATAATGAGGTCAGAGACGAAAAAAAGGATCAGATGTAGAACACTGAAATGACTTTGGCTTTCACTTTGTGAGAGTTTGGAGGGTTCTGAGAAAAAACTGACATGATCTGACTAAGTTTTAACAGGTTCAATCCAGTTGCCATGTTAAGAATTGACTGAGAGGACGGTCAAGTTGTGGAAAACCAAAACCCAATGCCGCTGAGTTGATTCCAATTCATAGCAACCCTGTAAGACAGAGTAGAGCTGTGCCATAGGGTATACAAGGCCGTAAATCTTTATGGAAGCAGACTGCCAAATCTTTCTCCCAGGGAGCGCTGGTGGTTTCAAACTACTGACCTGAGCCACCAGGACTCCCTCAAATTGGGGAAATAGGAGATTATTCGGGAAGTTATAGCAATAATCCAAACTAGATATAATATTTATTTGGAAAAGGGGGTATCAGTGGATGAAAGTAGAAGGAAAAGGGTGGATTCTGCATACATATTTTGAAGGGCAGGGTCAACAGGTTTATTGATGGATGGGATAGGGTTTTAAAAAGGAAAGGTTTTATGCAGACAAAACTAGACTTTTTAAGACATAAAAAACCCTATAGAAGTCATCACCATCAGACCTACACTAGAAGAAATGTTAAAGGAAGTCCTTCAGGCAGACGACAGAGGAAAATAGGAATCTACATAAAAGAAAGAAAAGTGCTGAAAGGGTAATTACATGGATAAATATATAAGATTTTATCTCATTTATTTAAAATTCTTTAAAATATAATTTATTATTTAAACAAACTAATCACAAAGTATCGTGGCATTTATAATGTATGTATAAGTAAAAGATGGGATGGCAATAGCAAAAAACCTGGGGAGGTTAAACAAAAGTATACTGTTGCAGAGTTCCAGCATAATGGTGCTCTAGGCAGAAGCACCACGCCATCCCTCCACAGCAAAGATCCAAAAAACTAAGCCGAGCAGAGAATACAACAATCCTGAAACCCTAAAACATCAAATGAAGAGATAAAGAACTCAGCCACGCACCAAATGGAGTGAGAAAACTGACAGAGAACGGAGACAGAGGAGAGAGACATGCAGAGGTCCCCTACCAGCTAACGTAGCGCGCATCTGCCATCTTGGACTCCTATCGGAGACCAGCAAACAGGGGGTACGAGAAAGCAGCCTCACGGAGCTTCCAGCGGGAGACAAAACAACCGGTAATTTGCAATAAATGCTTTCCCACCCCCCGACCCTTCTTCACCCCGACTCGGCCTCCTCTGCTTCCCGCGGCCACAGTCTCTTGACTGGTAAGCAGTGGCTGCTTGGATTCCACACACCCGATGGGTGGCTCTCTGAATGCCATTTGTTGGCTGCTGGTGTTGCTTTTTTTCCGCTTCTTTTTATTTCTTCCTTGCCTCTCCCCACCTCACCCTCCTTTTGCTCGAATACCTTGCTC